AATTTGATTGAGAAGAAGGCGTTTCGGGTCTGAATTTATAGGACAAAATGTGTTGGGTCACTATCGGCTGCTAAAACGCGTAACTGTCGTTTTTTCTTGAAACCGAGTTATTCAAATCATTAAGCATTGATTGCATAAAATGTCTGTTTGTCAAACATGTATTTAGGCATTTTTATATAGAAATATTTCTTAAAGACAGCTAATGTTGGAAACGCAATGTAAAAAGTCTGGTTATAAACTATTAATTTAAGGCTTAAAAGTTTTTAAAAAAAATGCTAAGCATCCATTTGGGACGAACAATTTAACCCATGTTTGATCCACATTGTTGAAAAATGCATTTTTACCCTACTCATTTTTAATCATACATTGATCAATAAAATAATATTACATGTAAATTCAAAACTTTTTTTTTTATTTTTTAACCATATAATTTATATCACATCACTTGAAAAAATGCATTCTTTTCTTCACAATGTGTGTCAAACACAATCTTAATTTATAAATAGAAATGAGTGGTATTTAAGTATACAATATTTATGGCTTCATTCAAATGTGTAATTGAAAATGAAATTTGATCATTTATGAATAATTTAAAATTACTTAACTCATGAGCATTCATTGCCATGCAATTTCTTCGCATACTGGTGTACAGCTCTTATGCACAGCATCAACATTTGAAATTTCTTAACTTTGAGCGGGTAATCTGGAGGAATCAATGGTAAAACTCAAAACTAATTTGTATCGGTTATGATTGATTATCCATTGTCTATCGAGGGAAGCACTTCTTCCATACCAATTCATATTTCAGTATTATTTCAATAAATTTAATGATTGTGAATATAGTAGGAAAATGAAAGGGAAGAAATCTATGCATTGAGTCTCTACAAGAATTTGATTAACCACAAATTGAGGATGATTTTAACGTGAGGTGACATTACATGATAATGTCAATGAAATGGATTTCATATTTACACATTTACCAAGTGTTTTGAGTTTCTTTATCTAAAATTATTTTTCCCCAAACTCATATTCAATCATATATTCTCTTAATAAAATAATTTTTCATATAAATTCAAAAAAAAAATCCTACTTTTTAATCAAAAAATTTAAAATAAAAATAAATCACTATTTACAAAATATAATGTTATATAGCACCATTGATCTAGGTGACACTATGTTATAGGCCCAATTAAAATCAGAATTATGCGTTTCATTTAATGTCACTTAATTTTACCTGAATTAGTGTTCAAACAATAATCATGATAAATAGAATTAAAATGGGGTTAAAACATGAGCTTTATTGACTTTATCATTTCATCACAATTCAATTCTCACATTATATGTTTACCCAAAAAATGATAATAATAAAAAATAGATTAATTAATCAATGTCATATTAAAATTTCAAATTTCTCAACTGTCCTTAGATGTCGAAGAGGAAATAGTCAATCCATCTTGCATCGCCATAAATTTAAATTTGATAAAGTTCAACAGTTGATGCCAACTAAGAAATTCTATGGCAAGAATATATTATTTATTAAACAATCATGCTACATATGTATATCAAATTTGACATTATGTGAATTGATAGATTTTTGTACATTGATTTTAACATCACATTTTCCAATCAATTGCGATGTCAACCTTGATATCAACAAGAAATGTACCAAAAGCATTATTCTTCATAAAATGCTTTGACCAATACAGATGCTAGATCAAATCCATCACTAAGGTCCGTTTCCAAGAAAGAGTAGCATGCATTTTTTAATCATGTAGTCTGTCTGTACATCAATCCTAAATTGTTTTTAATTTCTTTTTTAACTACTTTTTAAGTAAGCGTTCTTCACCAAGTTTTCTTTCGGAGTTTCTGCCAATAACTGATTTCATTTAAGAAAAATTAAATGTCGCGAGTTCAACGCTAATACTCATTTAGCGATCGTCATTTTTCTCTCTCTTATTTTTAATATTACATTTTTCAATAAAATAATATTACATGTAAATCCAAAATTTTTCATTAATTTTTAACCATATATTCTCCATCAAATCACTATCCTAAATTGCATTCTTCGTAGAATTAAGAATGTGGCTCAAATGCCTCCTTATAGCTGTGTAGCTAAAATCCGAGGGGAAGAAGGAAGGTCTCGTGAGTTTAGCAGGGTATCGACACTTGGCCAAAACCAGACATATTTAACCATTCTTCATCAATCTCGTACTTTTATTTTTTCATTAATCCTTGATTTTCTAACGTTTTGAGGTGATTTTTTGTTCATGGGAATTATGAAGGATTGATGACAGGCTAAGAAATCTTCAATGACTTTTAGTTGAAAAAAGAATTTTGGCATGCAATGTTATACTCCCTCCGTCCCCGTCCCAATTATATAGGTTGGGTTTCATTTTTCTCTTATCCCAAATATATAGGCATGTTTCCTAATGTAGAATATTTTGTTGTGTTTTTTTACCAATATACCCTTATTAAATTTTCTCCACTTAATATGCCAACTTCTTGAAATCATCCAAATACAAACATTTCCCACTTCTTGAAAACATGGAACAACTCTCATGATTGATGTTTCGCCCGGAATGCCCGGAGTATTTGTACTTGAGATTTTGATCTATAGTAATTTACATTTACCGATCAAAAAAATAATAAGACATGTTTGTACTTACAGCTGCGGAGGCATCCCGGGCAGGTAGAATTTGAGCTAATTTAGAGTTCTTTATTGATAATTAATCATACATTTTACATATCATTTATGTAGCTTGATCTTTACATACAATGTAT